ATGATCAAATACATAGAGAAAGTAAAAAAACGACACAACATAGGTGTGATGTGTGAGGTATGTACAGGTATAATGTGACAGATAAATACAGGTGTGGTGTTACAGGTACATACAGGTGTGATGTGACAGGTACATACAGGTGTCATGTGGCAGGTACATACAGGTGTGATGTGACAGGTACATACAGGTGTGATGTATCCTGTAGCTGCCCGGGTAAAGTGTCAGGTATCTGCAGGTGTGATGTGACAGGTAGATACAGGTGTGATGTGACAGGTACATACTGACTGACTGAGTTTAGTTTTACGCCGCTTTTAGCAATATTCCAGCAATATCACGGCGGGGGACACCAGAAATGGGCTTAACACATTGTGCCCATGTGGGGAATCGAACCCGGGTCTTCGCCGTGACGAGCCAACGCTTTAACCACTAGGCTACCCCACTGCCCCGACAGGTACATACAGGTGTGATGTAACAGGTACATACAGGTGTGATGTGACATGTACATACAGGTGTGATGTGTCCAGTGGCTGCTGGGGTAAAGTGTCAGGTATCTGCAGGTGTGATGTGACAAGTATGTACCATACAGGTGTGATGTGACAGGTACACACAGGTGTGATGTAACAGGTACATACAGGTGTGATGTGACAGGTACATACAGGTGTGATGTGACAGGTACATACAGGTGTGATGTGACAGGTACATACAGGTGTGATGTGACAGGTACATACAGGTGTGATGTGACAGGTACATACAGGTGTGATGTGACAGGTACATACAGGTGTGATGTAACAGGTACATACAGGTGTGATGTGACAGGTACATACAGGTGTGATGTGTACAGTGGCTGCTGGGATAAAGTGTCAGGTATCTGCAGGTGTGATGTGACAAGTATGTACCATACAGGTGTGATGTGACAGGTACATACAGGTGTGATGTGACAGGTACATACAGGTGTGATGTAACAGGTACATACAGGTGTGATGTGACAGGTACATACAGGTGTGATGTGACAGGTACATATAGGTGTGATGTGACATGTACATACAGGTGTGATGTGACAGGTACATACAGGTGTGATGTGACAGGTACATACAGGTGTGATGTGTCCAGTGGCTGCTGGGGTAAAGTGTCAGTTATCTGCAGGTGTGATGTGATAAGTATGTACCATACAGGTGTGATGTGACAGGTAGATACAGGTGTGATGTGTACAGTGGCTGCTGGGATAAAGTGTCAGGTATCTGCAGGTGTGATGTGACAAGTATGTACCATACAGGTGTGATGTGACAGGTACATACAGGTGTGATGTGACAGGTACATACAGGTGTGATGTGACATGTACATACAGGTGTGATGTGACAGGTACATACAGGTGTGATGTGAAAGGTACATATAGGTGTGATGTGACATGTACATACAGGTGTGATGTGACAGGTACATACAGGTGTGATGTGACAGGTACATACAGGTGTGATGTGTCCAGTGGCTGCTGGGGTAAAGTGTCAGTTATCTGCAGGTGTGATGTGACAAGTATGTACCATACAGGTGTGATGTGACAGGTACATACAGGTGTGATGTGACAGGTACTTACAGGTTTGTTGATGATCCAAGCACATGCTCCGAGATTGTTTAGCGAGTCCAGCACGGCCTGGATCCTGCTGACCGGGGTTTTCTGCAGGCGGTCAGACTGTCTGTTCAAGTGGTCAGGACGTCGCACAAGTTGTACTGTTGTCACAGATAAACATGGTTTTACTCAAAATGACAAGAGAAACAGAAACTCTGATAGCTAATGGATTCTATAGTAATGGGGCGTGTTTCTTAATATTGGGAAAGAAACAAGTAGTCATGGTGGAAAGAGGTTGGTTGTATCTTACAGAAACATATCTTCAAGTGGAGATATAAAAAAACTGTCATAATTTTCAATTAATGTGGAAACCCATATTTGATTATTACCTTCAAGGACACACATTACTCTATACCTGTACATAGTTAATGACAGACGGTAGGAATATGTACCTGATCCCAGCAGAAATCCCCCATGATTCATAGACACCCAGGGGATCGGTGGAACCAGCATTGGGAGGTCACTGGTGTCAAAGGTCATTTCATCAAGGTCAGCTCCTTGATAGACACGCACTAAGGTCGGATTCGGCTGGAAAGACAGAGACGCCATATTACACCACATTACGTCCTGAGACAGTTTGTCATTTTAACTCTGAAGTGATGTTCATGTAAATAATCATGAAAATAATCAGGGCCCGATTAATCAGTTAGTAACAGTGCAAGCAATAATCCATGCCACTGGCATTACGATGACTACATACTTCAACATGAAGTCCTGGTTTAGAAGTGGTCATTAGCCACCCACGCTGGTTGTAAGAGGCAATTAACAGGGGATCTGGTTGTCAGATTTCCTGACATGTTTGCATATCATCATATCCAGATTGATGTTCATGATGTCGATCACCGGATTGCCTGGACAAGACTTCCTTGCTGACAGCAAACAAAACGATGACACTCAAACAACATACAAACTAGTGAATATCCATTTTCGTCAGCTGTTGGTGAAAAGATTCATGGTGACTTCCTGGGTATTCTTTCTGTGCACACTTTAGGTCAATATGAGGAACAGACTCTGCTGAGGAAGTCCCAACAGAAACCCAGAAAACGGTCACAACATGACGTCCTGGGTATTCTGGGTATTCTTTCTGTGCACACTTTAGGTCAATCTGGAGAACAGACTGCTGAGGGAGTCCCAAGAGAAACCCAGAAAACTGTCACAACATAATTGGAGCATCACAGGATTTCCCTGCTGGAGACAGAGAAGTGTACTTACTTTCAGTTCTTCAATCATTCTGTGCCCGTATGTTCTGTACACGGAGTAGAAGGCTGGCACCATCTTCCTACAAACAGAGCATATGGTAAAAGTAGTATAATCGTCAGCCTTGATTTGATACCAATGAAAGTCTCATGTAGTGTGATCAAGAGAAACATAAACCCTTCATAAAACTGACTGAATGTAATCAAAGAACCTCATAACTTAACTGAAGCAACTGATGTCCATGTTGGTTTGTTGTTTCATGCCGCACTCAGAAATATTCCAGCTATATGGCGACAGTCGGTAGGTAATTGAGTCTGGACCAGACAATCTACTGATCAACATCATGAGCATCGATCTACCTATTTGAGATACTATGATTGACAGCATGAGCATCGATCTACCTATTTGAGATACAATGATTGACCACCCAATCCCGTTAGTCACCTCTTACAACAAGCATGGGTTGCTGAAGACCAATTCATGGGTATCCCTATGATATAGTACAATAGCATATTGCTGACAATGACAAACAGCCACACAGTCAGCAATATACCAGCTATATTATGGCAGCCTGTAAATACGGCTTAAGTAATCAACAGTGGACCATATACTAGTGATTGAAATTAAGAGCAACATCCCAGCCAGTTTGGACACACAATGCAACACACTCATCCAGATCATGTGATCCACATAGATATTTATTTGATAAGCTATCAATCAGTCCCCAAGCCTGGCCTCTCAGTCCATCTTATTCTCCTCAGCATAGGACCTGACCTGTGAAGATCTCCATTAGAACTGATCTTCAGTAACCCATGCATGTCGTAAGAGGCGACTAACAGGATTGGGTGGTCAGGCTAACTGACTTGAAGGACACATGTCATTGTATCCCAATTACGTAGATAGATGCTCATGCTGTTGATCACTGGATTGTCCGGTCCAGACACAATTATTTACAGACAGCCGCCACATAGCTGGAATATTGCTGAGTGTGGCATAAAACTAAACTTACTCACTATTGGGGACCTACTCCAACTGATGACCTACATGGCAGATATGTGTGGTTATGAGTTTAAGACCCAGGTTTGTCCTCACCTTTCATATGTGTTCCTGAATAAATTTGAATCTATCTTCATGTCATACAGGATGACATCGAACAGGGTCTTCCCAATCTGTGGACAGACAAAACATGCAGGTGACAATGGCCAGTTAAGTGATGATGGTTAAATTACAAATCCAAGGGAGAGTGTAGTTTGGAAACAAATCTCAGGATAACTGAAAGAAAGAGAACATTGACTTATCAGACCGAAATGGACAATTTTAGGATAATCTCTGACTGATTTTAGGTTACAGAGCAAATTATGATAGCTTGGAGGGAGTGGGCAGGCACAGTGACAGCATGAGTGAGGTGAGGTGAAATTGGGTTTTACGTCATACCAAAAGATGTTAAAATATGGTACTTGTTGTTCCCTGTCTGGCGCTCGGCATTAATGGGTACAACAAGGACCGGTCGGCTCGGAGTCAGTATAATGTGTCTGAGTGAGGTATTCATGCTTCACTGCGGCATGGTATCTCAGTGGGCTAGCACTATAAAACCAGCTTAAGTTTGGCTAGTACAAGCAGCCGCACATACACATACACACGCATGTACGTCGTCATATGAGCGAAATATTCTCAAGCCAGCGTTAAACCCAATTGCACCTCACCCAACATAACTAGTGTAACTCGCCTGCCGCGAGAACAACATAACTAGTGTACCTCCCCTACAATGACAGGATGAGAGATTGCTAGGTAACACTTACTGACTTCATGATGTGGTCTGGCCAGGGTTTTGATGGAACATCCTGAAAAAACACACAGGACAACTGAGAAATTGATCCAAATGAAAATGTCATACCATGGTTGATTGTGTGTTATTGTGATCACATTCATCATAAAAGCAATAATATCAACTTGATAACTTGATAACTAAGAGGAAATACTGTGTTGAGCTAAATGACAAACTAACCAACAACAATTAAACAGAACATCATTGACGAGGGGCATTTTAACTACTAGGCTAGCCAGCAGCCGACTATATATCAGTGAGTGTGAGCGAGTTTAGTTTTATGCTGCATTTAGCAATACTCCGGCAATACCATGGCAGGGGACACCACAATTTGGGCTTCACACATTGTACCCATGTGGGGGATCGAACCGGGGTCTCAGGCGTGACGAGCAAACGCTATAACCACTAGGCTACCCGACCGCCCCCTATATAACAGTAACTACTGGGTACTTACCAATGATGACCACATGCCCTCCTTGGTGATGATGTGATGCCAGCACTCTCTGTGGTTGGAGAAGGGGAAGTCTTTGTCATTGTAGTGCTGTGCGTATTGCTGGTACAACTGGCCGATCTGCAGCACAAACAGAACAGTTATTGCCTGTTGTAGCTGATTACATAAACAACTGAGCACCTGCACAATCAACAAACCACCCTGTCATACCCAACATCCCACCACCCTGTCATACCCATCACCCCACCACCCTGTCATACAGACCATCCCACCACCCTGTCATAACCACCACCCAACCACCCTGTCATACAAACCACCACCCAACCACACTGTCATACCCACCAGTCATACCCACCACTGTCATAACCACCATCCCACCACTCTGTCATACCCATCACCCCACCACTGTCATATCCACCACACTGTCATACCCACCACCCCACCACACTGTCATACCCACCACCCCACCACCCTGTCATACCCACCACCCCACCAACCTGTCATAACCACCACCACACCACCCTGTCATACCCACCACCCCACCACACTGTCATAACCACCACACTGTCATACCCACCACAGTCATACCCACTACCCACCACACTGTCATACCCAACCCCCCACCACATTGTCATACCCAACATCCCACCACACTGTCATACCCAACACACTGTCATATTCATCACCCCACCACATTGTCATTCCCACCACACTGTCATACCTCCACCACCCAACCACACTGTCATACCTACCACCCCTATCACATTGTCATACCCACCACCCACCACCCTGTCATACCCAACATCCCACACCATGTCATACCAAACACACTGTCATCCCCACCACCCCACCACATTGTCATACTCACCACACCCAACACTGTCATATCCACCACCCCACCACACTGCCATAGCAAACATCCCACCACCTTGTCATACCAAACATCCTACCACCTCATCATACCAAACATCCCACCACCCTGTCATACCAAACATCCCACCACCTTGTCATACCAAACATCCCACCACCTTGTCATACCAATCATCCAACACACTGTACTACCAGACATCCCACCACCTTGTTATACCAAACATCCCACCACCTTGTCATACCAAACATCCCACCACACTGTCATACCAAACATCCGCCACACTGTCATACCAAACATCCCACGACCTTGTCATACCAAACATCCCAACACACTGTCATACTAAACAAACCACCACACTGTCATACCAAACATCCACCACACTGTCATACCAAATATCCCACCACACTGTCATATCAAACACCCCACCACCTTGTCATACTCTCACCACACACCCAACACTGTCATATCCACTCACCCCACCACCTTTGTGTCATACCAAACATCCCACCACCTTGTCATACCAGACATCCCACCACACTGTCATAACAAACATCCCACCACACTGTCACACCAAAAATCCCACCACCTAGTCATACCAAACATCACACTACTTTGTCATACAAAACATTTCACCACCTTGTTATACCCACCACCCCACCACACTGTCATACCCACCACCCCACCACCCTGTCATACCCACCACCCCACCAACCTGTCATAACCACCACCACACCACCCTGTCATACCCACCACCCCACCACACTGTCATAACCACCACACTGTCATACCCACCACAGTCATACCCACTACCCACCACACTGTCATACCCAATCCCCCACCACATTGTCATACCCAACATCCCACCACACTGTCATACCCAACACACTGTCATATTCATCACCCCACCACATTGTCATTCCCACCACACTGTCATACCCACCACCCAACCACACTGTCATACCTACCACCCCATCACATTGTCATACCCACCACCCACCACCCTGTCATACCCAACATCCCACCACCATGTCATACCAAACACACTGTCATCCCCACCACCCCACCACATTGTCATACTCACCACACCCAACACTGTCATATCCACCACCCCACCACACTGCCATAGCAAACATCCCACCACCTTGTCATACCAAACATCCTACCACCTCGTCATACCAAACATCCCACCACCCTGTCATACCAAACATCCCACCACCTTGTCATACCAAACATCCCACCACCTTGTCATACCAATCATCCAACACACTGTACTACCAGACATCCCACCACCTTGTTATACCAAACATCCCACCACCTTGTCATACCAAACATCCCACCACACTGTCATACCAAACATCCGCCACACTGTCATACCAAACATCCCACGACCTTGTCATACCAAACATCCCAACACACTGTCATACTAAACAAACCACCACACTGTCATACCAAACATCCACCACACTGTCATACCAAATATCCCACCACACTGTCATATCAAACACCCCACCACCTTGTCATACTCACCACACCCAACACTGTCATATCCACCACCCCACCACCTTGTCATACCAAACATCCCACCACCTTGTCATACCAGACATCCCACCACACTGTCATAACAAACATCCCACCACACTGTCACACCAAAAATCCCACCACCTAGTCATACCAAACATCACACTACTTTGTCATACAAAACATTTCACCACCTTGTTATACCAATCATCCCACCACACTGTCATACCAAACATCCCACCACATTGTCATACCAAACATCCCACCACCTTGTCATACCAAACATCCCACTACCTTGTCATACCAAACATCCACTATCTTGTTCTACCAAACATCCCACCACCTTGTTATACCAAACATTCCACCACATTGTCATACCAAACATCCCACCACCTTGTCATACCAAACATCCCACCACCTTGTCATACCAAACATCCCACTATCTTGTCATACCAAACATCCACTATCTTGTTCTACCAAACATCCCACCACCTTGTTATACCAAACATCCCACCACACTGTCATACCAAACATCCCACTACCTTGTCATACCAAACATCCACTATCTTGTTATACCAAACATCCCACCACCTTGTCATACCAATCATCCACCACACTGTCATACCAGACATCCCACCATTTGTAAGACTAAACATCCCACCACACTGTCATACCAAACATCCCACCACCTTGTCATACCAAACATCCACCACACTGTCATACCAAACATCCACCACACTGTCATACCAAACATCCCACCACCTTGTTATACCAATCATCCACCACACTGTCATACCAGACATCCCACCACATTGTAAGACTAAACATCCAACCACACTGTCATACCAAACATCCCACCACCTTGTCATACCAAACATCCCACCACCTTGTCATACCAATCATCCACCACACTGTCATACCAAACATCCCACTACCTTGTCATACCAAACATCCACTATCTTGTTATACCAAACATCCCACCACCTTGTTATACCAAACATCCCACCACCTTGTTATACCAAACATCCCACCACACTGTCATACCAAACATCCACTATCTTGTTAAACCAAACATCCCACCACCTTGTTATACCAAACATCCCACCACCTTGTCATACCAATCATCCACCACACTGTCATACCAAACATCCCACTACCTTGTCATACCAAACATCCACTATCTTGTTATACCAAACATCCCACCACCTTGTTATACCAAACATCCCACCACCTTGTCATACCAATCATCCACCACACTGTCATACCAAACACCCCACCACTTTGTCATACCAAACATCCACTATCTTGTTATACCAAACATCCCACCACCTTGTTATACCAAACATCCCACCACCTTGTTATACAAAACATCCCACCACACTGTCATACCAAACATCCACTATCTTGTTATACCAAACATCCCACCACCTTGTTATACCAAACATCCCACCACCTTGTCATACCAATCATCCACCACACTGTCATACCAAACATCCCACTACCTTGTCATACCAAACATCCACTATCTTGTTATACCAAACATCCCACCACCTTGTCATACCAATCATCCACCACACTGTCATACCAAACATCCCACCACTTTGTCATACCAAACATCCACCACCTTGTCATACCAAACAAACCACCACACTGTCATACCAAACATCCCACCACCTTGTCATACCAAACATCCCACCACCTTGTCATACCAATCATCCACCACACTGTCATACCAGACATCCCACCACATTGTAAGACTAAACATCCAACCACACTGTCATACCAAACGACGCAGCACCCTGTCATAGCCAACACACTGTCATATCCATCACCCAATCACACTGTCAAACCTACCACCCCATCACATTGTCATACCCACCGCCCACCACAGTGTCAAACTCAACATCCCACGACCCCATCATAGCCACCACACTGTCATACCCACCACCCCACCACATTGTCATACCTACCACACCCAACAGTCATACCCACCATACTGTCATACCAATCATCCCACCATACTGTCAGACCAAACATCCACCACACTGTCATACCAAACATCCACCACACTGTCAGACCAAACATCCCACCACACTGTCATACCAAACATCCACCACATTGTCATACCAAACATCCAACCACACTGTCATACCCACAATCCACAACCCTGTCATACCAAACATCCACCACTCTGTCATTTCAAACATCCCACAACCCTGTCATACCCAAACATCCCACAACCCTGTCATACCAAACATCCCACAACCCTGTCATACCAGACATCCCACAACCCTGTCATACCCAAACATCCCACCACACTGTCATACCAAACATCCCACAACCCTGTCATACCAAACATCCCACAACCCTGTCATACCCAAACATCCCACAACCCTGTCATACCAAATATCCCACAACCCTGTCATACCAAACATCCCACAACCCTGTCATACCAAACATCCCACAACCCTGTCATACCCAAACATCCCACAACCCTGTCATACCAAACATCCCAAACATCCCACAACCCTGTCATACACAAACATCCCACAACCCTGTCATACCAAACATCCCACAACCCTGTCATACCCAAACATCCCACAACCCTGTCATACCCAAACATCCCACAACCCTGTCATACCCAAACACCCCACCACCCTGTCATACCAAACTGACAACACTTCTTGTCACCTCCAAACATCCCATCTGGTCATTCCCTAATCTCATCTCACACCCTGTCAAGTGATTCTCAGACCATTTTATCCCGACACAGCAACCTAGTATCACTTAGAACCACAGAGGATCCCCTGCACCCCACCCTGTCCCACCTTCTCGTCAGCCCTGCTCTTGGTGTTCTGGTGCCTGATGAACTTGTTGTAGATGCTGTAGCCTAGTTGTTTAGACAGAATTCCCATGCTGGGGCTGAACGACTCCGAAAACAACGCAATCTTCTCCATCTCCTGAAATAACATCACTACATCTGTACTGATATCTGATATTGACAATGCTTGCTTATTGTCTAAAACCCCAAACAGCAATTTTCAAAAAAAAATTCAGAAAGATCTATAATTAACTAAATCTGGACCAGACAATCCACTGATCGACATCATGATCTTCAATCTAAGGAACTGTGACACAAAGATAGATCAAGTAAATCTGCAAGCCGGACCACCCAGTTCCATTAATTGCCTCTTACAACAAGTATATTTTGCTGAAGGTCATCTTGTACGTACCGCGAACACGCAGTCGACATATTCGTCTGGAGGCAGCAACTTCAGATAAGGCAGGGGGGACACTCCATGGGTACCTGGAAACACAACACACGACTAAAAACAGATGAAAGATATAGGTATTATTTTTATAGTATGAGTATCATAGTAACAGACACATAATGACAGATTTCACATTACATTAGTAACAGATTTCACATTACGGCATGACTCACCTTTAGACTTGCGTGTCATGTAACAGATTTCAAATTACAGCATGACTCACCTTTAAACTTACGTGTCAAGTAACAGATTTCACATTACGGCATGACTCACCTTTAGACTTGCATGTCAAGTAACAGATTTCACATTACAGCATGACTCACCTTTAGACCGGCGTGTCAAGTAACAGATTTCACATTACAGCATGACTCACCTTTAAACTTACATGTCAAGTAACAGATTTCACATTATGGCATGACTCACCTTTAGACTTGCATGTCAAGTAACAGATTTCACATTACGGCATGACACCTTTAGACTGGCGTGTCAAGTAACAGATTTCACATTACAGCATGACTCACCTTTAGACTTGCGTGTCAAGTAACAGATTTCACATTACAGCATGACTCACATTTAGACTTGCGTGTCAAGTAACAGATTTCACATTACAGCATGACACCTTTGGATTTGAGTGTCAAGTAACAGATTTCAAATTACATCATGACTCACCTTTAGACTTGCATGTCAAGTAACAGATTTCACATTAAAGCATGACTCACCTTTAGACTTGCGTGTCAAGTAACAGATTTCACATTACGGCATGACACCTTTGGATTTGAGTGTCAAGTAACAGATTTCACATTACATCATGACTCACCTTTAGACTTGCATGTCAAGTAACAGATTTCACATTACAGCATGACTCACCTTTAGACTTGCGTGTCAAGTAACAGATTTCACATTACAGCATGACTCACCTTTAAACTTACGTGTCAAGTAACAGATTTCACATTACAGCATGACTCACCTTTAGACTTGCGTGTCAAGTAACAGATTTCACATTACGGCATGACACCTTTAGACTGGCGTGTCAAGTAACAGATTTCACATTACAGCATGACTCACCTTTAAACTTACGTGTCAAGTAACAGATTTCACATTACGGCATGACTCACCTTTAGACTTGCATGTCAAGTAACAGATTTCACATTACAGCATGACTCACCTTTAGACTTGCGTGTCAACATTCGTGACCAACTCGTGTTATTCCGGGACAAGCCGAATAGCGACTCGTGCCCCTCTGGAAGGATTTCATATTGGCGCATGAACATCAGAACTACTTCAAACAAGAACGATAACTCTATCCCTGTTTGATTCCAATGTTTCTCAAAATCACCGAAGCACATGTACATTGTATTGCTAGGTTGTTGTATTTGTTTTTTTCCACTTATTTATTTTAAAGAATTAAACCTCTTTGATACAACTAGAAGAAGGAGAAAAACATATTTGTTAAAGACATATTCTAATGTATTTATTACCAGCTGTTCACCTTATATTTCCAATTATGTTAATTAATAGGCTTCTTAATAGGGTTTAATCATCACAAATTAGAATGGTTTTATTGAATATACAAATAAAATAAACAAAATTGAGCTACATTAAATCCCAAAGCAGATACTCAAAAATGACTATAAAATATTTCTCAAACTGAACATTCGTGTAACCTTGCTGTCACACCCCTGGTGGAATTTTAAATGAATTCGCTGAAAAAAATATGAATGACCAAAAAACAGTCAGACTAAAATATCCCCAGAGATATGAAATATAAGCCCAATGTTAAAGATTAAGGTTGATTAGTTATATACAAATACGATATTATTGTTTTGAAACTGGTAGCGATTATAATTACATTTCCTAAAGTTGGTCGAAGCGCACGTACAATCTCCATAACAAGCCCGCAAGATCGTCAGAAATACACTCAGTTGGACCCATGAGAGCAGTTATGTCAACAAACGCACGTGTGTGTATTTGAATCTCTCACCGTCACTCGCATGATTCTTATTAAAAACTTCATAACAGGCAGCAAAATCCTTTTAGCTACGTTCTTTGTACTTTCAATATGAAGATATATATTTTTCATGATTTTTTAAACGATGACATATGCCATAAACAATTTAAGTTCTCGGGACTATTTTTATCAAAGCACCGCGCTCATTTAAGCGCGTTCTGATTGGTTTGTCGTATTTTCGCACATAACAAGCATCGAGTGGGGGACGAGTCTTCTTGGAGTTTACGGAAAGGGGCGAGTGGTGACGAATGGCGTGTCAAGTAACAGATTTCACATTACAGCATGACTCACATTTAGACTTGCGTGTCAAGTGACAGATTTCACATTACAGCATGACACCTTTGGATTTGAGTGTCAAGTAACAGATTTCAAATTACATCATGACTCACCTTTAGACTTGCATGTCAAGTAACAGATTTCACATTACAGCATGACTCACATTTAGACTTGCGTGTCAAGTAACAGATTTCACATTACAGCATGACATCTTTGGATTTGAGTGTCAAGTAACAGATTTCAAATTACATCATGACTCACCTTTAGACTTGCATGTCAAGTAACAGATTTCACATTACAGCATGACTCACCTTTAGACTTGCGTGTCAAGTAACAGATTTCACATTACGGCATGACACCTTTGGATTTGAGTGTCAAGTAACAGATTTCACATTACATCATGACTCACCTTTAGACTTGCATGTCAAGTAACAGATTTCAAATTACAGCATGACTCACCTTTAGACTTGCGTGTCAAGTAACAGATTTCACATTACAGCATGACTCACCTTTAAACTTACGTGTCAAGTAACAGATTTCACATTACGGCATGACTCACCTTTAGACTGGCGTGTCAAGTAACAGATTTCACATTACAGCATGACTCACCTTTAAACTTACGTGTCAAGTAACAGATTTCACATTACAGCATGACTCACCTTTAGACTTGCATGTCAAGTAACAGATTTCACATTACAGCATGACTCACCTTTAGACTTGCGTGTCAAGTAACAGATTTCACATTAAAGCATGACTCACATTTAGACTTGCGTGTCAAGTGACAGATTTCACATTACAGCATGACACCTTTGGATTTGAGTGTCAAGTAACAGATTTCACATTACAGCATGACTCACCTTTAGACTTGCGTGTCAAGTAGCGGATTTCACATTACAGCATGACTCACCTTTAGACTTGCGTGTCAAGTAGCAGATTTCACATTACGGCATGACTCACCTTTAGACTTGCGTGTCAAGTAGCGGATTTCACATTACGGCATGACTCACCTTTAGTCTTGCGTGTCAAGTAGCGGATTTCACATTACAGCATGACTCACCTTTAGACTTGCATGTCAAGTAGCGGATTTCACATTACAGCATGACTCACCTTTAGACTTGCGTGTCAAGTAGCGGATTTCACATTACAGCATGACTCACCTTTAGACTTGCGTGTCAAGTAGCGGATTTCACATTACAGCATGACCCACCTTTAGACTTGCATGTCAAGTAGCGGATTTCACATTACAGCATGACTCACCTTTAGACTTGCGTGTCAAGTAGCGGACCTTTTTATCCAGACTCTTCTTGAACATATCCCGCCACTGACTTCTCACAGCGTCCAGTTTCTTACGCTAGAACAAAAATGAAATTTTTAGAGTAAAATTAATATTTTATACTTATCCTGACTCATGCTTATTGCTTGTCTTCTTCTTCTGGCGAACCTAGTGGAACACTTGTATCTCCCAGTTGAAGTTCCCTTCAATAAAAAATCACTCATTAGTACTGACCACGAGTTACCTCCCTTCCACAAGCTCGGGAACGAGGGCGCCACCTGAACCCATGTGCCTCACTCTCTCCTCATATACTGAGCCCAACACCTGAATTTCCAGGGAAATCCAAAGTGTTATGTGGGGAGGATGGGAGGGCTTACCTCATGAGTCAGGATAAGTATATAATATTAATTTTACTCTAAAAATTTCATATTTTTCCTTATCCTGACTCATGCTTATTGCTTGTAGAATCCCTACGGATAAGGAGGTGGGATTATATATACTTTGGATTTTACTAATTAGTGATTTGAACTGAGATGATTGCAATAACCCTATGGGAACTTCATAAAGGCACTGAACTGAAGAATTCCTGCTGTTAACTTATCAGCTGCCATATAAGGGTTATTACAATTTACTGAATATAATAAAGTATATATAACATTAAGTAAGCTGAAGCCATTAATGTGATAGTATAAACTCTTGATAGTTTATAGTGAATACTTTTATAATGAACCAAAGTATTAAGCTTACAATATGCATATATATAAGCTATAATATAACTGTGCTTAAGATATAACTATAACTTAAGCTGTATAATAGTAACCAATTACTGAGAGTTTGTTAACTAATACATGTCATGAACTGAACATATGACTGAGCTTAAGGATTGAAACTTAAGCTGAACATATATATAATAGTAGAACTCCTAAGAGTTGTAGGCATATATATAGTATGATATAGAATCACAGTACCGTATAACAGCAAAAGACTCCCTAGAGTTTATTAGCTAATATACTTTATGATATGAGTATAGTACTGTGCTTAAGATATAATTAACTTGAGCTACCTAAATAGATATGAATAAATTTAAGCTAAATATATAATAGCAAAAAACTCCGTAGAGTTTGTTAGCTAATACATTTTATAATGTAACCATAATGCTTAAGATATGAATAAACTTAAGCTAAATATATAATAGCAAAAAACTCTTTAGAGTTTGTTAGCTAATATACTTATGATATAAACATAGTACTGAGCTTAAGATATGAATTAACTTAAGCTACATATATAATAGCAAAAAACTCCGTAGAGTTTGTTAGCTAATACATTTTATAATGTAACCATAATGCTTAAGATATGAATAAACTTAAGCTAAATATATAATAGCAAAAAACTCTTTAGAGTTTGTTAGCTAATATACTTATGATATAAACATAGTACTGAGCTTAAGATATGAATTAACTTAAGCTACATATATAATAGCAAAAATCTCTTTAGAGTTTGTTAGCTAATATACTTATATGATATAAACATAGTACTGAGCTTAAGATATGAATTAACTTAAGCTACATATATAATAGCCAAAAAACTCCGTAGAGTTTGTTAGCTAATACATGTTATAATGTAACCATAATGCTTAAGATATGATGAAACTTAAGCTAAATATATAATAGCAAAAAACTCCGTGGAACAGAGTTTGTTAGCTAATACATGTCATAATGTAACCATAATGCTTAAGATATGATGAAACTTAAGCAAAATATATAATAGCAAAAACTCTTGAGAGTTTGTTAGCTAATATACTTATATGATATAAACGTAGTACTGAGCTTAAGATATGAATAAACTTAAGCTACATATATAATAGCAAAAACTCTGTAGAGTTTGTTAGCTAATACATTATAATGTAACCATAGAATTGAGCTTAAGATATGATTAACTTAAGCTAAATATATAATAACAAACTCCGTAGAGTTGTTAGCTTATATATAGTATGATATAAACACCATAGTACTGAGCTTAAGATAATAAATTAAACTTAAGCAAAATATATAGATAGCATGTATCTATTAGTACTGTTATCCGATAAGTATAAAATCTGTAAGATAGACTTATCTTCTCCGTGGAACTGTCAACTGTTGAGCGAGGACCATGGGACCGAAACGGTGGATACCTGAGACTTCCTTGGTGGTGATATCTCTCAGATAGTGGTTGGCAAACACCATATCAGATCTCCAGAAACATCCCTCCATTATGGTATTCAAATCTAACAATTCCCATGTAGAGTGAGAGTTGAGGCTAGCCTAATTTCGCGAGGATTAGAAGCTCTTGAGGGTCGCTATCCTACAGCCTTGTAGGCACGTAGTATGACAGTTCTGATCCAGATAGAGATAGTAGTACGTAAGACTTCCATCTGCGTAGCTGTAGATATAGGGATAAATAATCTCTTGAATATCCCCTGCTCTATTTGGATCGTTGGAGATATATTTTCAGTGTACGAACTGGTCATAGTGATAGATCCATCGTATCATGCGGTCCAAGTATGGATGAGAGAGCTGGGACGTGGAATAATCTGTCTGGTTGATCTGGCAGTTGGTTTTCCCTATAAAATCCCAGCTAAGTCCCAGATGAGCTATGTTATGAAAATCATCAAAGCGCAGTTCTCTCAGTAATCCAGTGCGCGGAATCTGACATCCTGGTGGCCGTAGCTAGTGCTAACAGGATCAAGGTTTGTGGGTCAGTGATTCAAACGATGTAGATAGCGATGGTTCAAAAAACCTCACTAGTGAGGTGTTGGAGCATTATATTAGATCCCAAGCTGGAGCTGAAACTTCCGCTTCTAATCCTCCAATCGAACGCTTGTAACAAACCGAGTAACTCTGGCGCTTTTGTCAACTTGACGCCGGCCTCATAGTATGACAGAACTTATAGCTGCCAGATAAATGGACAAGGTTGAGCCTTTTAGATTCTTAGTTTAACGTAGATAACATAAGAAATCTGCCACTTGAGGATGTGTAGCATATCTGGCTGTAAATCCTTTCTTAGCAGCCGTAATTGACAAAACTGTGCCATTTGTCATCGTGATAAGTTACGAAGTCGAAGTTACGCCGCAGTGCAAAGCGTGACCGCTGTAGCCGCCTGGCAGAATAACCTCTTATTCAGACATGCCTTGATACAATCCATAATGCGAAGTTGGAATGCTTCTGGTGTATCGTGCACTTGTTTGGTGTGCAGATGTATCAATAGATTGAGCGCTAGTGGAGCTGAAGAATTAGTTTTCCCGATTTCTTGTATGAGATCTGGAAACCAAGTTCTCGCTAGCCAGTAGGGCGACCAAATCAGATGGAGGCTCTGCATTTGACTGATTTTCTGTAAGACTTGCTTAGTGCGTCCGCTGCCCATGCTAGTGGGTCTGGCACTGGCGATACTTAATGTTGTCAGTTGCTTGTTGAACCGAAAGTGGTGAATAGGTCTATCAGAGGAGATCCTATTTCCCTGTGTGTGGAGCATCCATTCTGTCGGGCGACGGTAGGTATAGCCCAGAGAGAGCGCCTGCTAATACATTCTATGCTCCTGAATGTGGCAAGTACTGACGGTATGTTTAGATTGTCGATTCGATCGAACAGTCTGAAACATCGAAGTCAGTAGGTTCTGTGACCTAGTTGAACCTTGTTTGTTCACATAAAAAACGCCAGTGTTGAATTGTCTGTGTGAACCATTATCTGAGCGCTCTGTAGTAGGTTGCTCCAGTGACTTATGGCATTTATAACTGCTTGCATCTCTAGCAGATTATGTGACATTTGCTCTCTTGATTGCTCCATAGACCTGAGGCTGTCCTGCCGGTAAGGTGGGCTCCCCAACCTTGTAGTGACGCTGCCTCACGCACAGATGTGTTTTCGATTCGCTCTACTAAGGAGACGCTTACAAAACATTCAATCTCTTGGTCTTGATGATGAAATTCAACTGTAGTCTGAGACGCTGTGGATTTGGATCCACTTGTATACCGTCGCCGAGGAAAATTCGCCATAAGTCCTTTGACGATGCTCACTGAGATAATGTTGTCACTTGCAACCTAAGTCTTGAACTGTGAACTATGCTCGACCTCTGTGTAGGGCGCTGTCCATCACGGGTCCAATCAGAACAAGGCATTTTGATTCTGTAGAGTACCCGCTGTGATGTCACCGTGTAGCAGGAAAAGGAACCTTGTATAATATAGTGCCGCCGCTGATATTAGAACAATTGTCGGTCTTCACCGTAGCTTCCCCGGTTACCCGAAAGTAACCACGTTTCGAGGGTTAATGGTAAACGCTAAAACCTCCGCCCAAATACCTCGCCTGTAATATTAATGCTGGGTAGGTTATTTCCCTGGCTGTCGTGGAAAGTAACTTCAGTCTTGAAGATAATTCCGACTTCCTTATATAAAGGTTTAATAAAACTTGCAAGTTGTCAACTTGTAGACTGTATACATGAATGTATCGCCATAATTGTAGAATTAAAGCTGAACTTGTTGTACATATTTCTTCCTCAGAAATCGCTGACGATATGAGTTTTATTCGCTGTAACAAGGTTGCTGTTCAATTCCGTAATAGAATTGTCTGCAGATCTGCGCTTGGGCTTCCGAAGATTTGGAGCAGGCTGTATCCAGATTAGCTGGTACCGCTGCAATCGGATCAATAGGAGGTAAGGTGAAATAGTCTACATCATCATTCTTCATGACGTAAGTCTGAGTTGAATTCTCGCTCTTCGATGAAAAAACACGCTGTAACTCATTCACCATCCAGTATCTAATCTCAGCATCTGAGAAAATGATACTTTCCTCCTCTTTGACGAGGGTCACATGTCGGAGTCCTAGATCTATAGGGAAGATCTATGAGAGGACTGTGATGAACGGACTGACGAAAGTGGCTAGTGTAAGGAGACCTTGAGGAGACACCTCCGCGAACGCTGGGGACTTCGCTAACTCTACTATATCTTCCCGAACGCTGGGGCTTCGCTAACGCTGGGGCTTCACGGCTCTTCTAGGCGATGTAGATCTTCTAGGCGATGAAGAACTGGAGCCACTTAGCCTTCGCGACCTTCTCGCGAATGTATCGAGTCAGTGTCCGTGATCGACATATGAGCTTGCTTCGCTTACGCCTTCATGCATGACAAGGTGCGTGCTCGGGCGAAGCCTCCTTCTCACAAGCCTCTTGCAAAAGGTGAGGCTCTAGCTCCTTCACGGAGGCGCCTGGGATACCTTATGCAAAGAGCTCACCCCGGCAGGGTTGCCCTTCAGCGCTGAGGCGCGCCTATGGGCTCAGAGGCCCCACGCTGAAGCCAAGGCGGGGCTCTGAGGCCCTGTATGACTTGATATGGGGTGGGCTCTGAGGCCCGTGGCTCTGAGGCCTCTGTAAGCCGTGAGCGGTCTTCCATCACCCTCATTATCTGGTTGATCAAGTCGCCTGAAGCAGTTCATGCTGATGAGGGATGTCTCTCTGCAGAGGTGACGGACCCTCAGATAAAATTTCTGGTGATAGTGTCGGCATCTCCGGTTTGTGTGCTAATCTGCGCTGAGGTAACAGTCGCAGAAACAAGACGCTTCTTATGACGAGCATCTGAATGATAATCGGAATGTCATCATCATATAAAGATAATTCTGTGATAGGTAAACCATCGGAGGCAAAATTATTAGATTTTGTAGATTTCCTTTGACGAAGCTGTAGACCTAGGGTTCAAACGTATGTGATGATATGGACGCTTTTCCTAGTCTTAGACTGAGAAGACGGCAGGTCTTGAGATGCAGGTCGCTGCTTGGACATAGCGGACTCGCCCCCCACGCTTATTCTCCGAGGGAACTCAGGCATGCCACCAGCCGGGTGGCGGTCGCCAGTCAACATTGACAGGGAATATTAGCTTCTGATCTAATAGCCATGACTGAAGATTGTTTGCAAGATTTATCTGCCTTCCGCCTAAAAACGGAACATAAATATTTATCAAAGGCAGAAATTGGTAAATTAATACATAATTTACAACGAGAAAAAAAAGAACATGGAGTAATGCAACTAGGGCATTTTAAATGTGGATCAGTAGCGAATAACGTAGTTTACAATCTGTGCAGATTCTCATTAACGTGAACTATTGAACAATCACGGCGAACCGTGAATAAAACAGCAGAAACACCATTAATAATCAATGCAAGTTGAATAAGGATACTAGTTACACCTCTATACTAAGTATAAGAGGTACTAAACTAAAAGGATATAGTGTGTTGGGAGACACAGGCGCCTCACCACCAGCTCACTGGGCTTAAGAAGGAGAGAGTGAGGCACATGGGTTCAGGTGGCTCTCTCGCTCCGCTTTGTGGAAGGGAGGTAACTCGTGGTCAGTACTAATGAGTGATTTTTATTGATTGAAGGGAACTTCAATTGGGAGATACAAGCAATAAGCATGAGTCAGGATAAGGAAAAATAGGTTCTTTAATGTCATTTTTATCAGGGATTCTTTAGAAGAAGACAAGCAAAACCAATGCAGAAGCATGAGTCAGATAAGGAAAAATATTGAAACCCTGGCGATCTGTAAATTATCAAGTCTGAACCAGACAATCCAATGATAGACATTATGAGGATCGATCTACAAATTGGGATACAATGACATGTGCCAACCAAGTCAGTGAGCCTGACCACCTGCTTCATTTAGTCGCCTTTTATGACAAGTATGGGTTACTGAAGACTAATCGTAACCCGGATCTTCACAGGTTCATGAGAGATAACTCACATAGTCCTTCATCTTCTTGGTAACTTTGGGCCGGGAGGAGATGGACTTGACTGTGACGGTACCCTTCAGCTCACGCTCCAACTGAGCTTTCATCTGCTGGGAGAACCTGTCAGGGGACACAACTCCAGCATAGGGATTGTGTTCCACCACCTGTACACAAAAACTGTGCATGGCATATGGTGTAGAACCATGTGTAAGGTATAGTATTCAGACTGCCTGTGTACCTGGTCAACCTTGCAGTTTCATTTATTGTACTTGAGTGTGTCTGTACCATGGTTTAGCTGTAAGGTCTTGCAGTCCATATTTGTATGAAGCAGTTTTTACTCTGTTTCTAATAGTTCTGAATGGCCGACACTTCAGTGAGTGAGTGAGTGAATTTAGTTTTACGCCGCACTCAGCAATATTCCAGCTGCATGGCGGCGGTCTATAAATAATGTAGTGTTGGGTATGACAGGGTGGTGGAGTGTTGGGTATGAACCAGACAATCCAGTGATCAACAACATGAGCATCGATCTACACATTTAAGATACGATGACATGTGTCAACCATGTCAGCAAACCTGACCACCCGATCCCATTAGTCGCCTCTTACGACAAGCATGGGTTACTGAAGATCAATTCTAACCCGGATCTTCATGGGTGCCGAGACTTCAGAGAGATCACCTGACAAACTACTTCCAGAGCATGAATTCTTCTCCTGGGTATCCTGCCTACCTGATCACTGGGTTGGTTGAGGGGCTCCAGGAGGGGTCCGTTGTATGGCTCAAAGTCTGGCCCTGGACGCGGTGTAAACCCCTGTTTCACCTGGAGAATCACCTGTTGGGGAAAACGGAAATGGCATCTGTGTCTATGCTGTTTAAACAACCATTTTCATTACAAGGCCATTCATACTTTTTTATATTTTGTTCATCTCCATCCCTGACTAAGAAGAGAACAAACAGACAAAAAAAATATAATGAAATAAAATGATGTTCTTCACTACTGACTGACTGACTGAGTTTCGTTTTACGCCGCTTCACACATTGTGCCCATGTGGGTATTTGAGCCCGGGTCTTCAGCGTGACGAGCCAATGCATTAACCATTAGGCTACCCCACCTCCCCTGTTCTTCACTTACTGTGTGGTTTATTCTATGAAATGTTAAAATTTAGATCACTTGGTATTAGTCTTTGAATTAATTTATGAAGTAGGACAAGAATCTTTGCTTTGGAAACAAATCATAATCAATGGAGACAATAAAAAATGTAAAAGCTCACGGGTATGAGTGTTATTTTTGTCAAATCAGGGCATTAAATTTCACACATCCTGGCGAAACCATAACTATAAAGGCCACCTAACCCATTTACTCACCATTCACACTGTCCATGCCCTCAACTCACCAATGGCTCTGTCCACTCACTAATTCAACTGTTGTTCCATACACCCACAAAATTTCACTTATCAATTGCTCTATCGACCACTCACTCACTCACTCACTCATCCATGACTCCATCCACTCAATAAGCCACCCACCTGCATGACAGCTTCAAGCTCCTCCTTCTTCAGCAGACAATCATTGAGGATGTTCTCCAGTTCCAGACCCTGAAATCAAAAGATCTCTTTTACTCTTACATCCTGAACAATACTTCACAGCTTCGTGTGACCATGAACTATGTCTACATTCAGTCAACAATTAAAATGAGGCTACTTATAAAAATTCAAGGAGATAAAATGAAACCAACTCGATGCATGAATTAAGTGCGAACTCTACCATTGTCTGATACTGAAGCACAGTCAGCCACACGGCCAATGCAAATGTTGTCAACAACATGAAAAAGGGACAAATTTAGAATAAATTTCAAACCATATTGCTGGTAAATTCTTGCTAAAGCCCTTATACAGCCTAATTTAGTATAAAAGCCTAAAATTAAAAGGATATATGCCGTATAGGGGTCCCAGGAGCTCTCACAACCGTCCACTAGGGCGAAGAAGGAGAGAGTGACAAGCATGGCCGATCATGTGACCAACTTTTGGTGCCAAAAGATGGGGGAAAGGGAGACTACTAGGGTGAGTGATTTTACGTCCACTTTTTTGAAGGGAGCTTCAAAAGGGGATTCAAGTGTTCCACTATAGTTCGCAAGAAGAAGACAAGCAATTAAGCATGAGTAAGGATAAGGAAAAATTATTGCCATTCGTTTGATGTAAGCTAAATGCTCATTGGTCACTCTCAACTGGAACCAGGCCCCTGCTTCATGTATATGAACTATACAGAATAACCGCCATATGTATAAAAGGATGAAGGCAAAGCTAACTGCTTACAAATTACTGACACCTTTCAGTGCAAAGCTCCAATAAACCATGGTTAGAGCTTACCTGTTTTTCCAGATCGTCAATAATACTTCTACACAGATCCATGTCCAGCTTCTCCTGGTGATGGAGACACTCCAGGCAGGCGATGTATGTCTGCAGGGTCGGCTCAAGGCCATCTTTCTTTATGAAGGTGAACAGGTCCTTGATCTTAGCCATGTTTCCCTGAAGCAACATAAATACAAGCTGCCATCATATATAACGTGGTATATTTCGAATTGAACTTTCTTAGTAAATTAAAGATTCTAGTACTTCTAATAGTCTGGAAGCTGTACACGAGTCTGAAGAATATGACTGTTTTCCACTGTTTCCAAGAAACTATTGGGACAGTGAGTGTGTGTGGTTTAATGCCACTCAGAGCTATGTTCATTCAACATCAATAGTGAGTGAGTGAGTATGGTTTTACGCCGCTTTTAGCAATATTCCAGCAATATCAGGAAGGGGTACACCAGAAATGGGCTTCACACATTGTGCCCATGTGGGGAATCGAACCTGGGTCTTCTGCGTGACGAGCCAACGCTTTAACCACTAGGCTACCCCACCGCCCCTTCAACATCAATAACATCAGGTAACATCAAACATGAGCATCATACAGGACAGCAATGTGAATGTTAAAACCCAAAGAAAGCAACAAAAGCCATCCTCTGACCTACTCTATTGAGACTCATGAGAGTACCCATATTACAGGGGGTGGAGAACACTGAACAAGGCAATGGCACAGGAACCAGCTGGAAGCTGTCCACAGAATACCCTGTACCATAGGAAACCCACACAATCATAAGATAATGCGCCTGTCTGTGATTCAGCAGCTGAAATAAATAACATTGCCAGGCTACCATCAGGACCCACAGACTACAGTTGTAGAACTCACATAACTCTTAACATAAAAAAACTAACTGCACCTTGTCATGACAAACAAAAATCAACCTGTAAATTAACAGCTGTCCGTAAGAACCTTACAAATTAGAAACAACCGGCACAAGATCTACCTGTCACTGGCCTACAGACAATATTTCTAACGCTGCAGTGACTCATTGTCTGACCTGTTTTGCCCAAGCGCTGATCATCAGGTTGTAGGTGTCAATGTCCAGGATGTGCTCCATGGCTGGGTTCGTTGGGTTGGACTTCATCATGAACTGGTAATACAAGATGGCCGACTGGGCCTGGTCCAGCTGCAATAGCATCAACAGCAATCACTGCAGGTACATCATTAACTATCCACATAATATAACACTACATAAAATCATGTACTACCTACAATACTAGACAATGACACAAGTTAACACTATTTATAATACAACACTACCTACAGCACTACACCAGTACACATAATACTACACAAGTACACACAATACAACACTACTTTCAGTACACTAGGACACACAATACAACATAACACTAGTACACACAATACAACACTAGTACACACAATGCAACAACACTAGTACACACAATACAACACAACACTAGTAAACACAATACAACACAACACTAGTACACACAATACAACACTAGCACACACAATACAACACAACACTAGCTCACACAATACAACACAACACTAGTACACACAATACAAATACAACACTAACACACACAACACAACACTGGCACACACAATACACAACACTAACATAAAAGTACACAACACTAGCACACAATACAACACAACAATAGTACACACAATTAACAACACTAGTACACACAATACAACACTAGCACAAACAATACAACACACTAGCACACACAATACTACACTAGCACACACAATACAACACAACACTAGCACACACAATACAACACTACACAAGCACATACAATACAACACTACTTTCAGTCCTACATTAGCACACACAATACACAACACTAGTACACACAATACAACATTAGTACTCACAATACAACATTAGTACACACAATACAACACTAGTGCACACAATATAACACAACACTAGCACACACAATACAACACTACACAAGCACATACAATACAAAACTACTTTCAGTCCCACACTAGCACACACAATACAACACTACTTTCAGCACTACACTAGTACACACAATACACAACACTAGTACACACCACACAACACTAGTACACACACTATACAACATTAGTACACACAATACACAAGACTAGCACACACAAAACACAACACTAGCACACACAATACAACATTAGTACACACAATACAACACTACACTAGTACACACTACACAACACTAGTGCGGACAATACACAACACTAGCACACACAAAACACAACACTAGTACACACAAAACACAACACTAGTACACACAATACAACATTAGTACACTCAATACAACAGAACACTAGTACACACTACACAACACTAGTGCACACAATACACAACACTAGTACACACAATACAACACTAGTACACACAATACACAACACTAGTACACACACTACACAACACTAGTATACACAATACACAACACTAGTACACACAACACAACACTAGCACACACAATACACAACACTAGTACACAACACACACACTACTAGTACACACAATACAACACACAACAGTACACAACACAAACACAACACTACACTAGTACTACACAATACAACACAACACTAGTACACACACACAACACTAGTACACAACACACAACACTAGTACACACACACACACAACACTAGTACACACAACACAACACTACACTACACAACACACAACACAACACTACACATAGTACACACAATACACACTAGTACACTAGACACAACACTAGTACACACAATACAACATTAGTACACACAATACAACACTACACTAGTACACACTACACAACACTAGTGCACACACTACACAACACTAGTATACACAATACACAACAATAGTACACACAATACAACACAACACTAGTACACACAATACAACACAACACTAGTACACACAATACAACACTAGTACACACAATACACAACACTAGTACAACACAATACACACTACACTAGTATACACACATACAACACTAGTACAGTACAACACTAGCACACACAACACAACACTACACTAATAATACTACAACATTAGTACACACAATACATACAACACTACACTAGTACACACACACACACAGTACACACACACAATAACACACTAGCACACACACAATAACACAACACTAGTACACACAATAAAACACTACACTAGTACACACACACAACATTAGTACACTACACACACAACAGAACACTAGTACACACTACACACAACACTAGTGCACACACACACAATACACTAGTACACACAATACAACACTACACTAGTACACAATACACATACACTACACTAGTAATACAATAATACAACAACACTAGTACACACACACAACACAACACACTAGTACACACACACAACACACACACACAATACACTACACTAGTACACAATAATACACACAACACTAGTACACACAATACACACAATACACACACACACAAGTACACACACTACTACAACACTAGTACACACAATACAACACACAACAACTACACTAGCACACACAATACAACACTAGTTCTAGTACACACACACACACACTAGTATACACACACACAACACTACACTAGTACACAACACCACTACACTAGTACTACACAATAACACAACACTACTAGTACACACTACACACACAACACTAACACTACACAACACAACACTAGTACACACAATACAACACTACTAGTACACACACTAGCACAACAAAACACACTACATACACACACACAACACTAGTACACACAATACACAACACTAGTATACACAATACACAACACTAGTACACACAATACAACACAACACTAGTACACACAATACAACACAACACTAGTACACACAATACAACAACACTAGTACACACACAATACAACAACACTAGTATACACTATACATAATACACAACACTAGTACACACAATAACACAACACTAGCTAGGACACACACAATACACACACAACACTAGTACACACAACACACAACACTAGTATCACAATACTACACTCACTAGTACACACAATACAACACTACTACACTAGTACACACAATACAACACTACTACACTTCTAATACTACACTAGTACACACAACACACAACACTAGTATACACAATACACAACACTAGTATACACAATACAACACTACACTAGTACAGTAATACACACTACTAGCACACAATAATACACACAACACTAGTACACACAATACACAACACTAGTACACACAACACAACACTAGTACACACAAGACACAACACTAGTACACACAATACAACAAAACACTAGTACATACAATACACAACACTAGCACACACAATATAATACTACACTAGTACACACAATACAACACTAGCACACACAATACAACACAACGCTAGTACACACAAAACAATACAACACTAGCACACATAATACAACACTAGCACACACAATACAACACTACACTAGTACACACAATACAACACTAGCACACACAATACAACACTTCACTAGCACACACAACACAACAACAGCACACATAATAGTACACTGCACTAGCACACACTACATCACTAGTACACACAACACTAGTACACACAATACTATACTACACTAGCACACACAATACAACACTACACTAGCAAACACAACACTAGCACACATAATAGTACACTACACTAGCACACACAATACAACACTAGTACACACAATACAACACAACATTAGCACACACAATACACAACACTAGTACACAACACAACACTAGTACACACAATACAACACTACACTAGCACACACAACACAGCACTGGTACACACAAAACAACACAACACTAGCACACACACAATACACACACATACACTAACACTAGCACACACATACAATACAACACTTCATTCAGTACTACATTAGTAGAGAGAATACAACACAACACAAGCACACACAACACTACTTTCAGTACTACACTAGTACACACAATACAACACTACACTAGCACACACTACACTAGCACACACAATACAACACAACACTAGCACACACAATACAACACTACACAAGCACATACAATACAACACTACTTTCAGTATTACACTAGTACACAGGATACAACACTAGCACACACAACACTACTTTCAGTACTACACTAGTACACACAATACAACACTACACTAGTACACACCACACAACACTACACCAGCACACACACAATACAACACTACACCAGTACACACACAACACCACACTAGTACACACAATACAACACTACCTATAGCACTACACCAGTACACAAAATACAACACTACACAAGTACACACAACACTGCCTACAGCACTACACTTATACACACAATACAACACTACACAAGCACACACAATACTACACAATGACACAATACAACACTACCTTCAATGCTCCACTAGTACAGACAATACAATAATACCTCCAATACATCACTCACAATACAACACTACATACACTACTACATAACATATATTACTCACAATACAACCCCATCAACAACATAACACTGCCGAAGAACTTCACAAGATGCAACACTATCTGTTATACCACACTCTATCTGTTATACAACACAATCTGTTATCCAACATTATCTGTTATACCACACTTTCTGTTATACCACACTATCTGTTAAATACAACACTATCTGTTAAATACAACACTATCTGGTATACAACGCTATCTCTATACAATACTCTCCGAAATGCCTCCCTTCACTCACCATGCCTGCAGCAGAACAAGCCTCTATGTAATGTTTGACATCCTGGTTCAAAGACTTAGTCCTGAGAGTGGAAACATTAGCAAAGGGACTACCATACTCAAGCTTCTTGCCTGTCTTGGGGGCACTGCTTGCAGAAGTCTGTCTAGTCTTAGACTTCACTGAAGAATCTGTTTTACCTGATAACTGATTATGTAACTTCTCAGCATCTATCACCCGTTTTATATCCTGTGCTTCACTGTGTTCATCATACTCATGTTCAGATATGTGTCGAGCTATCACAGCATCAAGAATTTCCTCTGGAATATCAGGAAAGGATTCAACTTCATCCTGAACAAGGGATCCCTGGTACATGATCCCACCATCATCAACAAAATCTGCATATTTGGCATAAGATTCTGCACCCACTGCACCTGAAAGACTAGGCGTGAAAGTGTCAAACTCAGAAGCACCACGTTTATGGTGTTTCTTATCCGTCTTCTCTGAACCATAATCCTGCAACATAGGGTGCCCTTGGCGATGGGCTTTGTGGGAGTCTCTATGTTTTGGGTCTCTTAACAGATCCTCACTCAGTGACTGAGAAACATCTTCTTCCTTCTTTGAGATGAAGAACTGACTTCGGAACGCCTCTAGAGAAGACTGCCAATGTTCTTCCCCTTGGTGTTCCTTGTATAAATCAGCTGAATGTTCCATGTAAGAGGCACCTGTCTTACTAAAGAGTTTCCTACTTTGTTTTTTTCTTTGATGTGGAAATGATTTTGAAAGCTCTGGGTTTTGTCTCTCTTTTAAAAACTTCAAAGAACTTGGCACAACAAAAATGGCATCTGACAAATCTTTGGTTGTCTCCCCTTCTTCTTGCATCATGGCTCCCAGGGCGAGCTGGGTTGTGCGCATGCTGAGCACTGTGGAAGACAAGCAGTAAATTTTTGGTCAATATGCATGATAATATCTAATGGGGAACGAATCAAATTAACTTACCTTGAATTTTACTGGCAAAAGATGTTTTGAGAAATTTTTACGTATCCTGTTCAAGTTTACAAAATCAAAACTGTACTTTTAGAAGATCCATCCAGAGAAACAGCACTGCATTTGTAAAGGCCAACATTGACATTTATATACAGCTCACAAGGCAATGTGGAGAGTTAAAACTAGTTGTTGGCTTTTGGAGATCCATTAATGACAATCATAAATGATCTAAAAGAAAATAACGGGATCGGGTGGGCAGGCTCGCTGACTTGGTTGACACATGTGATCATATCCTGAAACCTGAAAACCTGAAAATTGCTGAGTGCGCCGTTAAACAACAAACCAATCAACTAAGGCTACAAAATATTAAAAATAGTCTTTGCTTCTGTGGCACTGTGTCACCATCATAATTCTAGTCACACATTTTGTTCTAACTATTTTGGGGAAGAAATTCTAAAACACAACATCTGCCAGTGGCATGGTGCAATACTATAACTAACAACATCCAAAATAGTGTAAAGTTACTGATACATATACCAGGTATACACTGTTTTACTGTGCATCTCAATGTCATGTTTGTTGTCACATCACATGATTGCATGTCACAACTGATATAATGGTATTATACATACCCCTGAAAAGATCTCTTTCCACCTTGGCTTTCGAAATGGCAGATTTCTTCTTTTTCCATTTGTGTCGACCTGCAGGAGGAACGGTAAACTTGACCTTTGCTGACCCATTGGAGAACAATGTTGACGTGCCACTGAAGCACCTACCTGGGAATCAAAAATTGAATGAGAAACATGGTTTTATGCCACTTTAAACAGCTGTCCTTCCAACTTCAGCTAGTTTATCAAATATCATGATTATGGGTGGGGTTTTTCAATGAAATTTTCAGGAATTAAGTCTTTTTGTCTTGCAGGAACTTTGAACTCACCCCTAAGCCGTGAGAAAACTTTTCAGAAAGTGGTCAAGTATTAGAAATGTTAGATTTCGGAAAAAACTTTCCTAGTCAAGTTCTATTCTATTCCCAAATATTGAGGTTTCATTGCGTGAAAGACTTTCCTGAAACATTTATTCCTGAAACATTTGTCCCATTAGAGCATATACAGAGAGAGCTGAATATTGCGTTAAATGAATATTAAGTATTATTATATGATCCTTAAACAGCACGTGTTTGAAGCATGTTAGTCTTGAGCGTTCTTGTTTGTCATCACTGAACTTTCATCAGATTGGTCGCAGCTTACCTGACACGCATTGATGTGGTGAATGTCTTGGGCCTGTGGTAATTTCACACCCCTCTCTAGACAAGAATCCATTCAACGACGCTCTCCTGTGAATGTCGATTAGAAAAACAAGCGGTCTTTTCAATCGCAATAAATGCGACATCGTGTTTACTGTCGGCCATGAAACTCCATGCACTTCACCTTGAGGGAGACAGTGTTGTACCGAAACAAAACCAAATGTTGCAATATCTAGTACATTGCATCTTCTGACATTTTCTACATTTGTGTCATAAGAACAATCAAAAACTATTTTTTATTCGACAAAATACAACAGTTAATCATATCTATAGGTAATATAAAGGATACGAATATTTACGAACATAACTTCTCCCCGGAAGTAGACTGGCGAATTTCGTAATCAATCGGCGGGAAGGACGAATGAGTTGCTCCGCGATCAAGATAAACAACTCAGTTGTCCAGATTATAGGTAGATCTATCTGTTCACAGATCACAGACCGAGTTTGCTTTCGCCAAAACGTTTTATGTTTCATGTGTATTACGTACCGATCTGGCTTCTATAACTTAGACGCAGGCCAATCTGCTGAGAAAATAGCCATTGAAACATTCTTTAATAGTGATACTGCATTATGTATTGCTTTATCGAAACGATGGTTTGATACATTCTTAGTCAGTTCCGGAAAGAGTTCCTGCTGGCTGGATTCCTCATGCCCAAATGTGACATTGTTACATTTGAACATAATTTGAATATTGCCGAGAGACTGAGAGAGAACCGATTCACATCAATTGTGTTTGCTGTGTTGCGATATTCTGCAACTGATATTCACATACAATCAATCCATAAATGGCCTCCATTCTACTTTCTACCTACTTTCGCTTGTTTCTGTGTAGTCAGTCATACCAGAGACCAATAATACTTTGTCTCAAAGATTTATTAAAATGAATGTAGGTAGGTTGTGTATGTCGCCGACAGCCTTATATTTCTCTATCTTTCCATCAGAAGGCTGCTTCTCCACTGTCTTATACGTGCTACCTGTATTCAGCTCACCACCAAAGTCACAGGCTTCGACACCTGTGACGTATGACAATTCAAATTCACATTCAATTGTCATCCGTCAGCCATCACACATGTATGGCTGACACCACAACATCTAGTACAGCTGTATTTCAGAAAAAATGACGGAAAGAGTTCCTTCTGTTTCCCCAACCCTAAACCTAGCTCTAACCCCAACTTAAATTTTGGACTTTTAGTCATTTTGTGAGTTGTCTATAGTAATTGTTGTGTTTAGTTTTGTTAATAATTTTAGTATATTTATAAATATTATTTGGGATAGGGGAACGGGAGGAGCTCTTACCAAAATTACATATGAAATGGTGACCAGTAAAATTAAAAACCACGTACTCAGAAAACCCGACCCTAAACCTGGCTAAGGTTGGCCATTATATACTATAATCGCACCAAAAATTCTATAACAGCATGTCCAATAGCTCACAACACATAGCAGAAGAGAGACAGTAGGATTGGGTGCCTTATGCTTATTAAATAAACATTACAACTAATAAATATAACTGATTTTTCTTTTCAGATGTAGAGGATCATTGTCAACTTCATCATGAGAGCTCAGTGTTGTATATGTGCAGACCTCTTTGAAAATGATGACAATATCAACATCGCAGCAGTTCCCTGCGGACATACATTTCACGAAGAATGTGTCATGAAGTGGGTGGAGTCTTCTAGCTCCTGCCCTCAGTGTCGTAAATATGTAAACAAGAAGCAGGTCATTCGGAAACTCTACTTTGATGCAGGAGACGAACCAGATGAGAAGGAGAAAGACCCTGATAAACTCCAGAATGAGTTGTTGACTTTGAGAACCAAATTGAAACAGCGAGATCGAGAGAAAGCAGAATTAGAATCGTCAAAAGACTCGCTGCGAAAGAATGTACGTGACATGGAGGAAAGCAAGTCCGCAATACAGAAGTTGTTGAAACAGGAAGAAGGAACCAGTTCATCGTTACGGAAGCAGTTGGCATACTTTGAGTCACAACAGAAGGCGCTAAAGACTGAAAGAGAGTCGTATAAACGTGCACAAACCAAGTTGGCAGCGATGCAGCACGTGGAGGGATTACTGTCAGGTAGGTTCCACTTCTACATATTTTGGGGTTGTCATAGTCTGTCCCCAAACCCCACCATCCATAAACATTGTGTTCAACATTTGAACATTCGTATATTAATACTTGCAAGGAGACAATCTAGTATGCAACCTTGTAGTTATGTAATCTGGTGGACAATCTCACTATAGTTGAGCATTTTCAGTAATTACTGGATATCAACCTCAAACACTTTATTCACTGCCAAAGTTTCTTTTTGTCCTTGCATTATAGCATATTTGTAGTTGTAAGATCCTTAAGACATGTATATTACATCTCTTCAGGTTGTGAAAGTGATGCAGAGTCCATCCTGGAACAGTACGGAGAAGGGAAGTCAGCATCGAGGCAGCTTGCCCATTTCTGTTCCATCATGAAGCGAGAATATGAACAGGCCAAAACTGAAAAAAGAATCCTGAAGGACCAGCTTGATAAAGTGAGGCGTGAGTTGTGCACCAAGACCCGTCTTCTGTCAGAGTGTAGCAAGGAGCTCCAGTCATTGAGAGACCACTTCACCCAGTCAGAGGAAGACCTCAAACATGCAGAGAAAGATAAAGAAAAAATGAGGAAAAAAATTCATCATCTAAAACGAGCAATAAAAAGTCCAGATTGTGCTAGTTCCAGCTTTGTTGCAACATTGACTGAAGACAGTCCTGCATTTATCACTCCTGTGAAACCTGGTCTTCAGGGGAGCAAAGATGGTATCATTGACCTTGAAAATACACCTGACCCTAAACTGGCCTTGACACCCGATTTGTTCAAGGATACTCCAACAACTGAGGCCAAGAAGCACTGCGTTGAAAATAATATGAAATTTGTGAAAATTAGCACTGCTTCAACACAAAACCCTGCCAAACGAGCAAGAAACGAATCAAATGATCCGAATCATTTAACAGCTTTGGGGTCCTTGAATATTTTCAAGAAGAAGCAAGGCCCATGTTACCCCTCTGTGTCGAGGAAGGGTTACGATGGACTTGGGGGACATACAACATTTACTCAGGGGTTAGGTGGCAAACCCAAATTTGCTGTGAGAAAAACAAAACCAACACTGTCCAAGAGAAAGGACTGCCGGGCAGCCCGATTTACCATCTCTTGGTGATTTCCTTGAGTGATATAGGAATAAAGAACCATGCTCTTTGTGATAAGTGATTATAGCATGGCCCCCAAAATGGATTCTATTTATCAAATTCAGGTGTCAAGTTCATCAGTAACACTTTGAGGGACTTCTTTTCATACAGGTACTGGTTTGTGTCAGTGTTCCTGTAATATTTAACCGCACACATTTGATTAATTGATTTCTGACCCGTGAAGATATGGGCAAGAATTGATCTTCTGTAACCCATGCTTGTCGTTTGAGGCGACTAACGGGATCTGGTCATCAGGTTCGCTGACTTGTTTAAAACATGTCATCGTATCCCAGTTGCGTAGATCGATGCTCATGCTGTTGATCACTGGATCGTCTGGTCCGAACTTGATTATTTACAGGCCACCGCCATATAGCTAGAATATTGCTGAGTGCAGCATAAAACTAAACTCACTCACTCACTAATTGATGTCCATGATATCAGCAGATTTAGCTGCTGTGCTTCAGTATCAGTGATGCTCATTATGTTGATCACTGGATTGTCTGGTCCAGATTCGATTATTTACAGACCACTGTCATATAGATGGACAATTGTTGAGTGCGGCGTTATAACAACAAACAATCAATATATATAAGTGTCTGCTCAAAGTATACATGTGTATTTTGTGTAGATCTAAACTTACTCATAAAGTACATTGGACCTTAATTATGATCTTATGATACCAAACATGTGTTTTATGATCGTGTGATGTATAGACCAAAAAACACAGGATCATATACCTTTACAGACTATCATTTCTTGATGAATACTTTGTAAACCTTCAGATCATTTTGTCTTTTCACTTCAAATCCTACTTTTGACAATACATTTAGAAGATGAAATTTGTCAGGTCAATTGTCTAGTACAGCTTATTAAGCTGGTGCTTTGATGAAATAAGCTGGTAAATTGATAATATTAATTCCTCTGAAGATAGAAATGCTATCCGCAGAAGATGCTTACCCCAGACAAATGACCCCAACTTATCTGCCATCATTACCATATGTTTCCACCTGAAGTTAGAGATCTGTGGCAGATTTCTATGGTCATCACTGCCTGATTTGTCAAACAGGCATTTGTTCTCAAATGAAATGTTAAAGTTTTCATAGATTTTATATTTTGTGAGAATGTATATCTGTTAAAAAAATATATGTAGCTATTGACATGAAAACTTTCAGAAGAAAATGACAAACTTTATTTAAAAAAAAGAGAAGAGAGTTCTATTTTGCCTCAAAAGCAGACTTTTGTTGTATTTTATATTGGTGTAGGGAGGTAACAGATCTAGCCAGTGGATGCTGGAGCTATGATGTATGGTCGATATTCACAGCACACACAATGGTTATAACCATCATTAGCTCCAGCCTATCTGTTTGTATCATGTAGTTACAATCAGTAGGACATTGTATAGCACGAGGGCTGGCTGAAAAGTTCTAAGATTGAACAGGATAGATCAGCTGGGTTGTCAACAATTACTATCATTAATGAATCGTAGACATAAGAACTGCAACTGTAGTGTTATTGTCTTCGTACCAGACATCTTGGGAACCTACCCTTCGAAATCACCAGAAATGGAGTACCGGTATACCTGTCTATAGGGCAGGCATCAAGTACCTGCAACTGAAAGGATTAACCCTCACACATACATACCAACATGGTCTCCACTTTAGGGGATGATGCCTCTTCCTTTAACACAGTTTAGAAGTGGGCTGCGGAATTTAAGCGTGTCAGTGAAAGCCTTGGACATGACCCCTGTCCTGGAAGGCCATTAACAGCAACCATTCCAGAAAAAAAACATTAACTGGGTACATGACATGGTGATGGCTGATTGACAATTGACCTCTCGACATTTTACCAGTGTTGTGGGCATCTCTCATGAGAGGGTTGAGCACATTATCACCAACGAGTTAGAATTGACAACAGTTTCTGGAAGATGGGTGCCAGAGCTCTTTACTGCTGATCAGAAACGTCAGATTCCTGACATCCCGTAACAACTTGGATTCACCACTTTCAACCAGAATCCAAACTTCAGTCCAAACAATGGAAGCCTCCGGAGTCACCAGCCCCAAAGAAAGCCAAGTCGATTCCTTCTGTTGGAAACGTGATGGCTTCAGTCTTTGGCGATTCCAAGGGTATTCTGCTGATTGACTTACTTTAAAAAGGCCAGATTATCAATGGAGGATGTTATGCTGACCTACTGAGACATTTGCGTGAAGCTATCAAAGCAAGGCATCCTGTTCCACTAAGACAATGCTCCTGTTCACAAATCAGCGATCCATGATTATGGCTTCGAACTCACTGAACACCAGCCTTACTCACCCGATGTGGCCCCGTCAGACTTCTACCTGTTTCCAAAAGGGAACTAGCCGGTCGTCATTTTCCAAGTAATGTTGACGGCATATTAGCTGTGGACGACTTTTCAGGGTGGCTGAAGTAAATTTCTTCCTGACAGGGCATCCAGACCTTGAAACATCGTTATCAAAAATGTGTTCACCTCAAAGGGGACCATGTAGAAAAACTAATAAAAACCATAGAATTTGTACAGGTCTTTCACGGTCACGCTTAGAACGTTTCAGCCAGCCCGTGTAACTGTTTGGGGCGGTGGGATAGCCTAGTGGTTAAACGCGTCATTGCCACAATCACAAAACCCGGGTTCGAATTCCCACATGGGTACAATGTGTGAAGCCCATTTCTGGTGTCCCCGCCGTGATATTGCTGGAAGATTTCTAAAAGTGGCGTAAAACCATACTCAGTCAGTTGTAACTGTTGGTTCACCAACCCATGCAACATTAAATACAAAATAAGATCACTATCAACAGCATTAAAAAGTCATCTTTTCCAAACTGCCTTCTCAAAGCTACTCTAATAGTACTGTGTAGTACTGCCGTGTTTTATCCTATTCAAGACTTTCTCACAGCGCCGTTGACCACTGTATGGTGGAAACTCGGATTCGGCCATCAGCGCGTGGCAGGAAGATTCTCGACTCGTCAGTGAAGAGAGCATGTCTCTACTCACGTGCTCTCCACCGCAGATGTTGTCTGCACCACTGCAGTCGTAGACGTTGGTGACCTAATGTCACAATTTGTCGTCTGGCAGGACGTCTAGCACGTGTCCCGTGTGCAGTCAGACGCCGGCAAATGGTCCTTGGCGATATCCCGCTGACAACAGGAACTGTTCGGGCTGTCAGTGTGGCTGGTTGGAATCTTTGGCGCAGATGGGTGGTTCGAATCCAACGAACGTTGCGTGGCGTGGTTACAGGTGGGCGGCCGCCCAGGGGACGGTCTGCAACGATGGCGTTTTGTTGGTAACGTTTGCCACAAGTGGCATATGGTGTTCATGTAATGCGTTAAACTGCTATGCAACGCTGCGCTGGGGTGTTCCGGTTTCAAGCATTCCAATGGCTCGCTATCTTTCATTTTCAGTTAGCCGTCCCATAGAGAAATGCAAGCAGATTCTTCCAAATTTGTGTTTTTCGGACCCGCCGACCTCTAAACAATGATTTGGGTGACAATTATTCGAGGTTTAGAGCCAGACTTTTTAAAGCGCACGTTTTATGCCTTTTTTTCCACGGACCTCTTGAAAGCTCGAAAAACGCATGCAAAACAAAAACTACCAACTTGACAGTTTGACATTAGGTGACAAAGATTTGTCATTTCGAGATTGTGGGGGATTTATCATCTTCTGATGACTCTTGTTTTGTTCTTTTTTGCTTTTCCCCCCTTATTTTGCTATTTCAAATCCAGTTTTAGAGGAACAGTAATCCCACTAAGGCAAATGAATATTCAAACGTGCACGTCCAGTTTTAATTTACTTAACTATCAGCAGAGATTCCAATACCATGTCAGAACATAGTCCAAATCAACCTCATGGCTATAATTGTAAGCCCATTATTCCGAGGCGGGGTACAGAAGCCACAGGTTGAGGTGGAACCGTTAGGAGTTCAGTGGGCAGAGAGAACTCTGGTGCTGTCAGTAAAGCCACTGCGACTTATACTGCATACACTTTTCCTTAAGAATGTGCATCCAGTAGCGCGCATGTGACCCACAGGATGCGACCAGTGTCTGGCACCGTCGTGGCATGCTCCCAATAAGAGTTTGTATAGTTGCCAGGAGAATTGCATTAATGTTTGTTTGTTTGGGGTTTAACGCCACTCTCAACAATGTTCCGGCGATCTGTAAACACTTGAGTCTGGACCAGACCAACCCCTATAACCCACAGATTATATACACAAAGACTGACTGACTGAGTTTGGTTTTACGCCGCTTTTAGCAAAATTCTAGCAACATCACGGCGGGGAACACCAGAAATGGGCTTCACACATTGTACCCGTGTGGGGATTCGAACCCGGGTCTTCGGCGTGACGAGCCAACGCTTTAACCACTAGGCTACCCCACCGCCCCATATACACAAAGAACTTAATCAAGTGTTGTATGGACGCTACTTGGGGACTAAATCGTCCATTTTGAATTTATAATGAGACACCTGGACACCTGGTGTGTCTATTTTTAGATGATGAGTCTTTGTCTCAGGTCTATAGTGAGATCTATGGTGTGCACACCTGATGTGTCTATTTTTAGACTCGGGTGGGTATATAAAGTCCCCCCCGAACAGTCCTCCATATCATTCTGACTTCAGTCGGGTTACGTACGGATCTTATGTTCTTGACTCTACTGGTAGCTGTTTACCTCGAAGATGGAAACCATTCACCGCGAGATCCTTAGGAAGAACCGCTCCGATCTCGTGACATGTATACAACGTGTAGAAGATGTGGTCGACAAACTGATGCAGTTTGGTGTGCTTACTTGTTTCATGAAAGCTGAGATTATTGAGAAACCACGGACGTCTTTTGATCGGGTCCGAGAATTGTTAGATATGCTTCCTAGACGGGGCCCTCAAGCTTACACCCTCTTCTGCAAAGCACTGCAGGAATGTGGAGAGATACAAGCGATGACATTGCTGGGGGTAGAGACTGACAAGCAGATGACAGAACTACAAGATCCCAGATGCCATTTACATCTGGGGGACAACGTCTATGTGACAGCCAAGACATGGGATGGCGTATTGAACATTCATGTGAGGAAGTATGAAGTATACCCGGGTGGCACGGCCTATCCAACCAAGCGAGGCATTGTGCTGAGTTTGAAACATTGGGTGGATCTCCCAGGAGCTATTCGATTCATTGAGGAGGCTGTCAACGAAGGGAAACCTA